GCTAGAAGCTTCCTTTACTCTTTGATTTGTTCTGGTGTGTGGGGAAGGTGGTGGCTATTTTTCTTTGCTTTGTAATTTTCATCTCTAACTTTTGGATGTTCAGAAAGCATGTAGAGGTTTTACCCGCCTCATTTTTTTAAGGGTAAGTCCATGCTTGTTTTGTTAAAGACGAAGTGCTCCAGAGGGAAACCCCCCTCTGCTCCCAGCGTTCGGGTAGGAGAGACCTGGGCTGCTCCGAAACTGCAGGCGAGCAGGAAAGGTGAGGGTTGACCTCGAAGTGTGCGGAGGAGGTCACGAAATGCTGGGGTGAATTGTCCCAGGGGTCGCGGGCCCCTGGGGAGGGCTGGTTGTGAGGATCCGGTGGGATTCCCACAAAAACAGGTCAGTTCAGACATGCGTGAGCAAAAACTTGTCCCCGGTGGCTTGAGCAGGCAGTGCTGGGTCTGTGCTGGGCCCCTTTGCTTTGCCAGCTGGTGCTGCCTTGCTCCCAATCACCGACTGGTTTGGAGGGCCAGAGCTGCCCCCCGTCGAGAGCCGTGGGGGTGTTTTGCCCTTGTGCTGTGTGGCAAAGGGGCTGTTACCCCTCGGGGCCTTTCCGAAGCTGAGCAGGAGCAGGAGAAGGGGCCGGGCTGCTTCAGCGCCGCTGCTTTGGGTGGCAGAAGGCTCAGGAGCCCCTCGAGATGGGCACGAGAGCGTGGATGGCGCGGGGCCCCTCGGCAGCAGGGGCCAGCGAGGGCCGTTAGGTGCCCTGGGCGCTCACCCAAACGTGCCGGGGTGGGACGGGGGCTCCTGCGCGGGATGCAGGTCCCGCAGTGCAGCGGGACCGCTCGTGTCTGCGCTCGCGTTCACGTCGGGGCGCCGGGCTGCAGCTCGCGGGAGGGCCCATGAAATCCCCTGCTCAGGGCAGGGCAGAGAGGGGGCTTCTCCTAGATAAAGCTTCACCAAAGTCCTTAGTTTAATTGCAGTGGCTCCAAGTTACTTATTAGCCTGTTACTTTTCCTGGATGTTCAGGTGTGTTCGCAAGGAGGAGCTTCAGTTCAATGAGAAATTTCTTTCCATACTCAACCCTGTTACTAGCTTTTCAGACCCAGGCAGTTTACCATTTTATCAATAATTGAAAGCCAGAAAGGTTTATGAAGTAGAAATATTCTTCACACTTGTCATTAAGTCTAATATGTATAATTTAAAAACTTTTTTAGCTATACAATAACAGGAAGAATTTGTAGTTGCGAGCTCAGAAAGTGCTGGATTACCCCCCGGGGCAATCCTAAACCCGTGGGACATGCCTCTTTACACACAAATTGGTTGTTCAGAGCAATAAGGGGCTGCACTTTTTAGCAGAGAGGCAGTTCTTTGAGAGCTCTCTCTTACACCGCAGCGAGGTTTCCTATTAACTGCCAAATAGGCTTCCAGCGGCTCCAGGTCTCTAAGTGCTGCCTCGCCGCCTTCCAGGGCACACGGAGTGGGTGGAAATTAAAATAGGAAATCAGAGGGTCAGGCTCGCAATTAACAGCGTGTCAAAAGGCTGCGGGGCCGGCTGAGCCGGTGTCAGTGCTGCGGCAGTTCATTACGGCTTCCCCAGCCGCGCGGGAGCGGGAGCGGGCCCGGCGTCGGGACGGCTCCGTGCGGGCAGCGCCGCGCTCTGCCGCCCGCCCCGCAGGCTGCGCCGCCGCCGGCGCACACATATTTGGGGTTTCTTGGTGTTGTGCTGCTGGCAGTGTCACAGCGTCGCAGTATGCAAAGTGACGCTCTAAAAATCAAGTGTTTTAGTGTTTCCTTAGCTCATGCTTACGTGTCCTGCGCGGCTGCGACGCGCAGGGCTGGGCGCTGCCCCCCTTGCGTGCGGAGCCGGGGTCCTGGGCCGCATTGGAAGGGAAAGCCGGTGCATCCAGAGCCTCATTCTCTTCATTTGACTGTCGTAAGAGGGACAAATGTCCTAGGTCCCTAGGGTGGTTGCGTAGCTTAAAAAAAAAGATAAAAATAAATCCAAATAACCCCAAATCTCAAAATCCTCTCTCAAATGTGGGAAGCCCTTTGTAGGAGACTAATGAAAACAAGTCCAGTCTCCACCCCAACCCCTTTGAGGGGGTGCAAATCAGGAAAAAGCAAAGTGGGTAGTAAAATGCACAAATTCAAAATTATTACTGAAATCTCCTTATTAATGCTCAAATCCTATGCTCATGTGTTCTGGATCTATTTTTTTTTTATCTCAAGTACATTTAGGTGTCAATTAAATTTGAAATATCTACATTTGTCAGCATTTCATTTTTGGCCAGCGTGATGTGCTGCTGATTTGTCCATGCATCCTGACACATGAAAAAAGCTCCCGAGATGCAGATCTTCCTCATTAAAAAGGGAGCGGGCGCTCTCGGCGCGGCGCGCGGAGCCGTGGAGCGCATCCCCGGCGTTATTGCGCCGTGTTGCTGACACGGTGTTTAAAAAGGAACAGCCGCGGCTGTCAGCGCTGTCACATGCCGGTGCTAAC